AGACCTTTATGCTTTCACTCTCCCTTCAACGGGTGATCAGAGAAGGGAAGCAACACGTGAAAATTTATATGCATGGACTATGAGACCTTTAACTTTTACTAATCCTGATTTTAGTTAATATTCCAGCTCCAGGCGTCCAAAGACTTAGGAAGGCACACTGCAATAGATAAAATGCAAAGAAATAAAGAAAAGGGGCAGTTTAAATTCAAGCCCTTCAAGCAATGCATGAGTTTCATGAAGTTACAAAATGTACTCTACTATCCAGATATGCATCATAACCTGAAAAGGTTTGGCATGAAAGGACTTCCTGTGTAAGCACAAACGCTGTAAAAGCTTTGTTTGCCTCACATGAGAAAAAAGAGTAAAAAGATAGCATCAAAGCCCAAGAAACTTAGACAGAAAATTAGTAAAACCCACTGAGTAAAACCATTCCAGGGACAAGCGATGCGGTAGAACAATGGGAGGACATTGGGAAACAAAATGGAAAATCAAGCTTCCCTCCTTCCAATACAACTCTGCAAAACATTTTTTGATCCTCTTTACCTATCTATAAAACATACTTATGCTTGAACTAGATTAAACAATACAAATGTTGTGGCAGGCCCAATGTTTTGTGGATAGTGTGTTTTAACAAATATATAATATCTTAATAATTACCTCTCCTTATAACACAGAATGACACAAATAAACAGACAATCAGCTTTATCAGCTCAGAGCACACATTCACAGTAGTAGGGAGATAGTCGTACTTGTTCTCTGAAATACAACAGAAAAATTTAAAACTATTAAGTATATTCTGCATGTTTTTACATGTAATTAATACTTTTTAGATTTAAAAATCAAACTTAATACTTATCATATCAAATGTCTTCTAGTGGGTACAGCTTTTCTCAATCTTTGAGTAACTACGATTAGATCAAGGGCAAAGGAAGCTCCACAGGAAAGAGGCAGAGACTGACTTCTAAACAGATAATTACCATTCAGCACCTGACTCATCAAAAGTTATGAGTTTATCAGTTGAATTAGTATTCAGCCTATGAGTCATTAAACCTGACTTGTTTGCCTTAGAAAAATCAGGGTACATCTTGCCTATGGCACTTCTTTAACTCAGAATTTTCCAACCTGGTTCACATCATAGTGTATACAGGACAGTACTCCTGCCCCTGGCATAAATGGTAAATTGGGTAGAAAAAACCGTCTGGCAAAGCACTGGGCTACATTTAGGGCTGAGAGGAAGTAACAGTGGGTCACCCACATTTATTAAAGTACAGCCTTGGTAATAGGGCAACTGAATTAAGAACAAGGCTTGACAAGCACGCCTGGTCTTAGTTATTACCTAGCTTTTCTAAATGCTTAACAACAATTTACCTTCTGAACAGTGACAAGGACAAACGAAATCTTATTAACTACTACTTTCAGGGATGCATTGCCTCCCCCCCACTTTAAAAACATTTGGTAACTTCTCTAGTCATATTACAACTTGGCAAACACTGGGGTGGGTGGGCACCAACTTAACCTTCTCTCTCCAGGATACTTCCTCCCTCTTTCCTGCAGATTCTCTTGAACACTCAACATTTGCCAAATTGACTACTTTTTTGTTTCCAGGCACACTCTACCAGCCTCTATAACAGCATTTGAAAACTGTATTGTAATTCCTTATTGTGCTTATGTCATAGTTTAGAAAGTAAATGTCTAATGACAAAAGACCAGATTTTGGTTACTTTCTTATTATACCTGACATTTAATAATTATCCACTCAAATTTATTTGCTTATTCAACTATGCTAACTATTCAAAACCTAGTTCAAATACTTTCTTCCTTTTCTCTGTACAAAGGTAGCCTTAAATCACATGAAGATACTTTTCATGATCTTTATCATGACATACAAACCAATCAACCAAAATGTGACACAAGAAGTGGGTAGGAACTGGGCCTCTGGTCACATCCCTGAGGAATTACTAGATTAGAGTAGCCTCTGAGCATGCCCAAGAGGGACTATGTAGATTAATTAGATTAGCAGTTGAGTCTCCCTGTGAGGGATTATGTAGATTAGATTAGTTGAGGTGGGAAGAGCAACCTGAACTGTGGGCAACAGCATTTCATAGGCTGGGGTCTGTGACTAAATAATGTGAAATTGAGTTGAGTGTGACCTTTTATTTTTTTTTATTTTTTAAATATTTTTCCTTCATATTATGTGAATGGGTGTTTTGGCTGCATGTTCATCTGTATACCGGAGACCAGTGGAGGGCTTCATATGTCGTGCTGAATTGCTGGGGCTAATGTTCTAGAGTCTGGGAGAATAAGAAGTTATTTGAAAGATTATAGCTAATGGGTGGCAGAAGGTTAGAGTAGGAGAAGTGTTGCTAGCGGAGTACTGATATTTGGGGTGGGGAGAACATTACACTCCTTGGGACTGCAGGCACAGTAAGTTTCGAGTTGCCATGAACAACATCCTCTGAAAAGAGCAGCCAGCGTTCTTTACTGCTGAGCCATCTCTTTAGCCCCAAGCATATTTTATCTCTTCTTTCTTGACGCCTGTGGATGCCATGTAACTGCTACAAGCTTCTCCTGCCATGACCTCCCTGGCATGATGAACTGTACTCCCAAACAGTAAATCAAAAGAAACCTTTCTTCCTTAGCCTGCTTTGATCAGGTATTTTTGTCAGAGCTACGAGGAAAGAAACGGAAAAGTTATATTAAAGCTCGGCCTAGGACCTGAAAGATAAATACTAACTGAAGTTAAAACTCACATTCACATGTAGGCTCTCCAAGTTGATTACTAAAAATCATGATGTCACGATTTTATATTTGTCAATAGTTAGGAAGTAACCAAGTGCAGTTTTGTGAAATTAAATATTTGCATAAACCCTTATATTAAAATAGATTTCTTGAAGGTACATGTACCAAACTTTAGATTCTAACTATCCCATTGACAAAATAATTATATTGACTCACAGATGCAAGAAACTAAACAAGTATACTTTATTTCCAAATAAGCTACAATTGTACATTTTGCTAGAGATCTAGGAAATACTTGTTGGGTGAACTAATAACCAGATATTATGATACACTGTGTTTTATTTTACACCTGAATGATCCAAATCTCACTCAGGGTCAAAAACCAATTGCTAAGGTGAAAGTACAAACTTAAACACACTTTATCATTCACAAAGCATAGTACTTTAAAGGAATCATGTATAATTTATTCATAGGGACACCACAGACAATCCACATCTTAACTCACCTTCATTGGCAGAATATTTTACCAGTAAGATGCGACTTGAACTTAGAGTAACGAATATACCGCCTAGCAAGAATGGGTACAGTGTGGACAGGCCTAACCCAGGACGCCGGAAGCATTTTCTTTCCATTCCACTGGTTTTTAGTTGTCGTAACAAGAACACCTTCATGAGCAACCCTGTTGGCAGACCTAAGGAGTAAGCACAAGGCAAATCCTATAGTCTGCGCAGAACAGAAGCCTGTGGATGTTCGGCCACGACTAAATCAGAACCAAGAAAGCTGAGGGGACAGAAGAAATTTAGAGGAAATGATTGATAATGAGAAAATCTTAAAGGAGGGGGTATTCTCGAAACGTTAGAAAGGGAGTAACGGACAGTTGGGGGGGGCAGGAAAGTTGTTTATTTGTAATAACTTTGCTCCAGAAGGAATGAATTTTGGAATCGTCTTTTTGGGGGGTAGGTAATTACTCTGTTCTTCCTTCTGAGCAGAAAAAGAGCATTATTTTACAGTAACAACCACAGTGCAAACAGCAGAAGCATGGCTACTGAGTTTTTCTGAACCAGAAAGGAACGGAGAGCTAACCTCAGGTCAGCGAGCCTAACTGGTCAGTCTTTTATGACAGGTGGACACGAAACTCCAGGCAGGGTAAATACTTGCCCAAAGTGCACAAGTAGGATGGACACATGGAGCCGTTGGGGACCGCCGACAAAGGCCCAAACTAGGGACCGACTGGGCGCAAGCGTGCAGAAGGCCAGTGGGTCAGCGCCCCTCTACCGTGGCCAGGCTTCCCTCGCTGTCAGGGAAACCCTCGCACACATGCGCAATAGGAGCGGCGGGCGGCACCGACGACCCTCACGCGCCAGCATCGCTCTGCCCTGTCCTCGGGGCGCGGTTACCTCAGGCGCTCAGGGAAGGTTCTAGCGGAACGGACATCATAGAGCTGAGATAGTGACTGCCTAGCTCCGTAGCAGCAGCAGGAGGCTTTCAGGGCCCATTGATGGGGAGAGTATGAGCCGGGCACAGAGGCGACAGAAACCCTCCTCCCGCCGGCCTCCAGGGCTGGACCCAAAGCGGAGACCCGGGCGGCCGGGAAGAGCGGCCTCCGCGCCCATTGCGCAAGCGCACTCTTTCCGGCGCTTCCGGGGGGCGGGCCGGAGTGAGGAGCGAGCGGTGGGTCCCGCCCCCGCGGCCCTCTGTTGTCACGTGTCGGGGGAGACTCGAGTCACGTGAGGCCCAGGTGGCGGAGCCGCTGTCGGGAGAGAGTGAAAAGAGGAAGGGGAAGTCGGAAGGGGTGGAAGTGGAGCCGGGAGGCAAAAGGCGGCTTCAGGGGGGAAAAA